TTACACAGCTCATTGAATTTTGTATTTGTATGGCTATGGCTTTGGCTGGCTATAGTCTCTGAACAAGTGCTATTGCAATTTTTTTTGTTTGTTTTTTTTTTGTCCAACCTGTCTATAAGTATTCATTTTAGATTCTCTTATAGAGTATGCTAAAAATACAGTTACAATATTAATTTACTGTAAGAGTCGAGTTTATAGTTGTGGTAAAAGAAAAGACAGCTTGAAAATAAACACTTATGTGCTTATATTTTTTTGGAGGAAAACTTTCCCACAAGTGAGGCCCTATTGTCAAGGACAAAATTATTGTAGGAAGTGCAAAAGGCCTATTGTTCAAGCTGGACTTTAAAGTGATGGTACAGGGACCTAGGTTCTTTGAAAATCTAGCCAGTTGTGGAATTTGTTCAATGTTGACATTTTTGAAAAATCTGACTTTGGCACTTGTTTCTGAAAGGTATTCCAGAGTTTAGGTGGGACCAGTTCCCAGTATAGCACATGAATGTAATCTGTTTCATGTTTTGTAACTGATACTATTCATGTCTTTCAAATGTTTATATTATTTATTGTATCAAAGACAGAATGTTGATCTGTAAAGATTATTAGGACTCACCATTTTTTCAGCTAAAATGGGCAGCTTGATAGTTCTGATACCTTCTGAAAAAAAAGGACCTGGTAGGCTCAACATATATAGTAAAATATCTTGTGAGAGATTAACATTCAGATTTCTGTTTTACTGGTTTCATTGGTATATTGTCTATATTGGGATACTGTCTTAATTTTAAAATATTTTCCCATCCCCATTTGCAAATAGTTATGAAAAAGGCATCACTCTTCTTTGCCTTTTTCCATACCTATTTTTTTCAGCACAACTGTAGTTTCCTAACAAACTCTACTAAAGACTCCATACGATTAATGTCATACTAGTCACCTTTGCTGGAGGAACTCATTAGCAGAATTTTACTATTGATAAAGAGCCTATGAATAAGATTATGTCTAAAACAACAAGATACAATTATTACTGGGTGGTGCTTTGCATTAAAATGTGTGGAATACTACTCTGAAACTTTGAAATACACTTAGCTCTTGACTATCTCAGCAATTGTGTTTGCTTATTTTAGTAGCATTCATGAGCATTTTCATTTCAGTGATGAATATAAACCAGATAGAAATTACTGAAATTATGGCAGTGCAATATATAAAGCACATTAATATACATACTCATTTTAGGACAGACAATTCAACATTCATCTTAAAAAAGAGATATTTGTTGAGTGGTCAGCAACACAGTATTTATTTTATTCAGTGAGATATTGAAAAGACCAGGAATACGTATTTTTAATAGTTAAGACAAACAGCATCTGCATTCAAAAATACTGTTTACTTTTATGAAAATGTAAGCCAATATGTTATGAATTTGAGGAAAATTAAGTGCAAAATTAAAGTGAAAAAAGACTGTGTTCTTCATACAGACCAAAAATGGTGGAGACAGTATAAAAGCACAGAGGAATAAAAAAATAGGTATTTGTAGGGATAATAAAATAATTTAAAATTGCATAAATAGAATCAGAAGGCAACCTTTTATTTAACTGCAGATGGTTAAGTCATTATGCATTAAAAGTTTTTTAAAGCATTCTGAAAGCATTTGATTATCATAAATCACACTGAAGTTAACTGGACCGTGTTTAGCATTTTATGGAAATAAACTCATACTTGGGATTAGTAAAATTAGACAAAACAACCATGTTCTCATTTTAAAAAGTTTATCTTAGCTTTCCTTTGTCTTGATGTGTCTTCATGGAGCTCAGGCTCTACTGAAGATCCTGGATGCTTATTCTTTTTCTGCTCAGAACAGTGGAATCAGAATTAGTTTGCTGTTGCCTTTGGAGTGTTCACAGACCTTTTAGATGCACACACAAGGAGTCCCTTACTACATAGTCCTTCCTGGAAAATCAAGTGCTACTTGGTGTCAGGAAGGAGCAAAGATGGAAAGGTTATTTGAAATTAAAAGAGAAGGGTTTAGCAGAGTCTTTTTGAATGTAGTCTGGTGCTTCTCATATGACATACAAAAAAACCCCAAAATAAAAGAAAAAAAATTAAAATCAATCTTGAGGGAACTTGCTGTGGCTCTAAAAGTTATTTCACACAGATGTAATACAAACACCAGAGATGCTTTTATGAATGTGAAATTAAGACATCTATTTTCTGGATAAACCAAATCAAACAAGAAAAAAAACCCCAAACAACCCACGCCAAACCAAACCAAAACCCCAAATAAGCCAAACTTTTCAATGTAGAAGGAAAAAGATAGAGGATACAGTGTAATGGGAAGAATAATTAGGGAGAAATTATTTTACTCACATTTAAAAATGCAGGTTCCAATGTCAGGTCTGATGGGTGGATCAGGATTGGTTACATATCCTTTAAATATGATTAAAATACAACTTCTGACAAAAATTAACTTTACTTAACATTTTATTCACTTCATATATAAAAATTACACTTAGAAAAATAAAGAAACTATTGAATTATATTTATTCAGGGGATTCATAATGCTAATGAGAATTTTTAAACTTTTTCTACATCTTTTTTCTTTTCCAGAAAATACTTCAGTTCTCTGTAAGGTTTTGTTTGTTTGTTTGTGGTTTTTGTTTTGTTTTGATTTGGTGGTGGGTTTTTTGGTGAGTAAAAAAGCCCCAGGAACAAAAATCAGTATAATTATGTAAAATGAAAAATACCTGTATTCTTTTGTGGAAGACTTGAAGTTCTTTGTAGATTTTAAAAAAAAAAAATGGTTGCTAATATTCAGCTGTCCCTATTAATCTATATGTTAGTAATTTGCAGACATTTTGAGACACAGCACTGACAAGCACTACTTTCCAACCGGTTTTATTTTTTCTATTTCCCTAAAATTCTCATGTGCAAGCATAAATCCTGGTAAAAAAAAGAGAACTTGCTTGTGTGGGAGAACACCCCTATTCAAACAACAGCCCTAATGAAAGGCAGCAGTGTAAACTGCTGGCAAAGCAATTCTCTCCTAGCATGAATTTTCTCTATTTCAAGGTCATTCTGGTATAAAAGTCCTTTGCAGCTTGCTTGCAATATACGTCTCAATGAATGCATGGTTTTTATTAGCAAGGATTATCCTTATTGTCACTTAAGCACATTTGTGTCTCAATAAGATTATGTAGAGGGTGCAACCCCTGTGCTAGGCACCATAATGATGACTTTTCCCTGTTCATGACATATTACATGGGGCCACAGCAACAGAGGTCTGGGCATAGACAGGAAGGGGATGTTGTGCAGTGAAGCATCTTCTCCTCTTTGCTGCAGAGGAGCTGGAACACTGTTTAGGAGCTGGGACTGTGTGAACAGCTTGGTGGGAGAGATGGAGCACTAGGTGATCTCACCTTTCCCTCTAAGTAAATCCATGGCTGGAGTAGCTTTACCTGATCAGTAGGGTATTTTTAATAGCAGTACTTCATTTATGCTAAAGCATGTCTGGTTCTGGTTACTCAGAACTCTGATTCTAACCAACAACGTAGGGATAAATTTCTCCATATCAGAACAGAAAACAATGGCAAGCATGCAAACTTAAATCACACATCTAAAGGATGGGGATGAAGAGTTGTTACTTAAGAGATGCAAAATAGCTGGGCAGGGGTTAAATCAGACTTACATATTCATCATACATTGTTAAAGAGTCCCCTGCAAAATTACTTTCATCTTATTTTTGGAATGCATGTTGTACACATGACCTCACCTAATCTTTTGTCACTTTGCAAAACAAAAGCTAATTTCAATTCCGGAAGAGAGAACCATCTTCAACAACACAAGCTAATAGATATGTGCTGCAGTTCATAAAGAGTGCATGTTCATTATAAATTTGGCCAGTTGCTCTACAGAGATGTCAATCTTAATTAGGACTTCATTGGCTTTCTCATTGAAAAGAGTTAAAATTCCCTAATTAATCATGAAAAAATTAATAAAAATTAAATTAAGACTGTTTACATAAGTAAATCAAGTTTCTGCCAAATTTAACTTACCTTTCAGCCTGGGATGGGGTTTATCCTTCTCTGTCTTATCCTTTTCAACTTTTGACAAGGATGGGGGGGCTGAGGGGCAAAAATCTTGTTCTGGCAGTATTTGTCCATTTGTAGTTTAGACAACTACTCCATTTTGTGGGTGTCAGATTATCAAGTAGTTTAGTACAACACAACTCTTAAATGTGTTGATTCAGGACATTATTGTCTGAAAATTGTGTTATCCAAAAAGGCTTCTAAAAAAGGGAAGGAAAAAAAAATACAAAGCAGAAGATAGGGCAGAGGATTAGTAGAAACAAAAAAACCAAATGCACAAGGTAAAATGAAGTCCTCTAAGTCTCCTGGGTCCTGATATCTTTTTCTTCCCCCAGTTTCTATTTCCTGATGCCATGCCTATTTTTCTGTTTACCTCTCTCTGTCACTCCTGAGGAATGGTTTCTATTTCAGATTTTAACTTTGTTCTTCAGTCACCTTAAAAGCATACACAACATTAATATGTTGCATAGTAATACATCATAGCCAGTTTCTGAAATTTCACACCTTAAACTCTCTCTGAATGCAGCACTACAGAAACACTGTGTACAGCTTTCCTGTCCACTGCATGAGCTAAAAATGTTGTTGGTGTATTTTCACAGCTTCTGTATAATTGGGAATTTAGGGAACATATGAGAAGTATGAGGGTTGGACTTCTAACATTTACATATTAATCTGGATATTAGCATTGCTACTAAAAGCAGTTTCTATAATTTATAGATGTGCTATAACATTATAATATAATATAGTATTAAATTAGCTAATAATTGTGTAAGGGTTCTCTGACATATGAAAAAATGTTATCTTTATAAAACAAGTAAAGCTTAAGAGGGTACATGAATGAATTTTGATTTTGTAAGTGCCTTTAGATAGTAAAAAATACATGGAGGGTTTTTTTCTGATTCTTCCATATTTTTTTTATCTTGACAGTACAAACAAGTGGAACAGTACATGTCATTCCACAAGTTACCTGCTGAAATGCGCCAGAAGATCCATGATTACTATGAGCATCGCTACCAAGGCAAGATCTTTGATGAAGAAAACATTTTGAATGAGCTCAATGATCCTCTTAGGGAGGTAAGAATAAAGTACTGGAGTAGCTCTTCATAGTATGGAAAACTTTCATATCTTTGCTGTTTCTGTGTTGAAATGCTCTTTCTGGTTCTATTCTGTAACATTTTGTCTCATTTGACCTAGTCAATGAATAACCAGGATAATTAAATTTATATTAGATTGGCACAAAGTAAGCAGATTTACACTATTCTGAACCAGTCTGTCATAGTCACTGCCACACAAGGATGTCAAAGAGTAAAATCCCATCCTTAAGTGTTGTCAGAAACTCATGTTTTTCTGGCACTTTTTGTAACAGAGTGGGGCTGGACTGGAATAGTCCTGAGTGAAAACTTTTTTCTGCTTTTCCTACTTGCTAACCATACACCTGTACAGATAAAACTGCTGAAAGCCACCACAGAGAGAGCTTTCTTTGTCAAGTAGCTTCCTTGGTAAAGATGTTCTTTACTTGAGATGATGAAGCTGGAATATGATATACAAGCCATTAAAAAATACCTTTTGTTAAACCTTTAGTCTGTATTCCAGTTTTAGGGATTATGCTATGCTATCTGATGTCATGTCATGTGATGTGATGTGATGTGGAAGCAGTTGGAATTTTCTTTGCAAGTTGCTTGCATGGGACAAAGGCAGTGTTCATCTTGTAGCAGATGTAGCTGCTTCATGGGAGTATAAATGAGACTCTTTTCTGTTGGGTGCTGCTCATGTCTGATCTCCTCGAGGATGTTGGCTGATATCCTCCACTGAAAAGAAGGGAAAAAAAACACAGGAGAAGAAGCAAGTTAAAAAATTCAGAGAACAGAGAGCATAAACAGGGAAAAAAGAAAGGAAACAGGAAAAGTGTGGGAATTATCCCTAGACTACACTGACAGTCGAAACATGAATCTTGGCTAGTACGGAGCTTGTGTTTTGTTAAGACAACAGACACATGTACACAAATATCAGTCACTGACATCAGAAACAGTTTCATCTGTCTCTGCTTTTAAGGAAAGCATTTCTCCATAAGTGAAGTCTAATACTCTTCCATTGCAAAATATTATTTTAGTAACAGCAATTTGCAGTTGTTTCTCTCTAATTACCTGTGTGTTCCTCTTTCCTGCCTCCCTCTTTGTTTCCTCTCTTCCTCTCTCCCTCCTCTAGCCTTGTTACCTTCCCATCCTTTTTTCTTATACCTTAAAAGCAGCAAGGCAAATTGGTTCAACCTTAAAAAACAAAAACCACTTCTAGAGAGAGATCAAGCATGGAAAATTTCAAAAATTAATGAGCCCCTAAAAACATGGAGGAAGAACAGGATTTCGTGGAAGGAGTGGCTTCTGATTTTGCTATGGTCATGCTGTACTTAGCATGACTTCTTTGTTCTCTGTGTTGTAGGATAAAAAATTTTTTACTCAGCTACAATCAGGTTGCACACTACCCTGATAACAACATAGTAGTGTTCCAGAGAAAGGTCAAAAAAAGAAAGAGAAAAGTAAGAACTGGACACTGGCAGTGCCAGAACAGGTTTCTAAATTAATCTGTCCAAATTTTGGTGGCAGCTCATTCACTGTGCCCTGAAAAAACCCCTTGAGTGTTTGCTGAGTTAGTAGTTTCAAATTTAGCTACCACTTCAGCATGTGCAGTTCAGTAGTGCAGGCAGTGGCTTTTTTCATGTTAATGGATAATAAATTAGAGCCTTTAAAGGTTGTTCATATATTGGATGGGATTTACTATCTTACATGCCAACAACTGCGCAAGGCTATAATAGGTGATAGCACAGATAACCTAGCTGCATCACTGAAGAATAAATACTTACTGCATTTCTTAAGTTTGTAATTAATCCTACATTTGATTATACGTGGAATTTAGTACAGGGTAAAAATTCAGAGTCTCAACAGGACGTACTTTTCTTGATGAAAGTAGCTTCTGACAAAGACATTCATCTGAAACCATTATTTTCTCACTTAGAGTAAGCAGAACAAAAGAAACCATACAATTGCTGCATAATTATAGCACCGCAAAATGTTATTGAAAAAATTGCTGTGTTTTCACTACTCCTTGCTCTCAGCCATTCAAATTTACTGTACGGGCTGAAATTTTCCACAGCTAGGCTCTCTTTAGGAGTGATGACCTTTTTTTTTTGGTCCATGTTTTAAAATTTAGCAGAAAAGTAATTATGCATGATATAAATATGATCATTCAGCTATTAAAAATAGCTGAAGTACATAGAATTAGCAGTAAAAATCTGGTGTAAAAATAGTTCGTACATGATAAATACTAATATACTAATAAAGCTGTATATGCTTATTAAATCATAGAATCATAGATGATGTTGAGTTGGAAGGGACTCCTCAGGATCATCAAGTCCAACTTCTAGCCCTGCACAGGACCATGCCCAAGAAACACACCATGAGAGCCTGAGATCACTGTCCAAGTGCTTCTTGAACTCTGGCAGGCTTGGTGTTGTGCCCACTTCCCTGGGGAGCCTGTTCTAGCACCCAGCCACTCTGGGTGAAGAACCTTTTTCTAATATCCAACGTAAACCTCAGCTGACATAATTTCTCTTGGGTTCTCTCACTGGTCACCACAGAGAAGAGATCAATGCCTGCCCCTCCTCTTCCCCTCATGAGGAAATTGTGACTGCAGTGAGGTTTCTCCTCAGTCTCCTCCAGCCTGAACACACCAAGTGCCCTCAGCCACTCCTCATAGGTCTTCCCCTCAAGGCCCTTCACCACCCTCATTGCCCTCCTCTGGACACTCTCTAATAGCTTAATGCCTTTCTTATATTGCAATACCCAAAACTGCACACAAAATTGAAGGTGAGGCCGCACCAGCACAGAGCAGAGCAGGACAATAATCTCCTTTGTTAGTAGAGTTTAAGACTTTTTTTGGTAAAAGAGAATGGATGACTGTATAGAACATTCATAGTAGATTAAAATAATGAAAATCTGAGAAAATATTTGTTGCATATTTGATCCAAAAGTCTGAGTGCCTAACACTGTTGAATGATAAAAACAGAGTCATGTTTATTGTTGGGAGCTAACTATGTCTTCCTAAAAGAAGGAAAAAAAAGAATCCTGAACATCTTTACATTTTACAATACTCTATCTAAGTGCTTCAAAGCTGAGTATAGCAACTAGTGGCTGACCTATATCATTTAAGCATAATCTTGTATTAACAAACAGATTGTGTTCAATGACTGGGAACTAAGGTAGACATTTATGAGACTGAAAAATTCTATATTCTCCCCAGTTTAGTTAATTGCACAATTTGGGTATATTAGTTCATTGATAATGTAGTTAATTGGATATCCTCGGCTCTACACACTCAAACTGAATTAACCATGCACTGCAAAATTTGATATGCATCTACCTGCTCATATGGACACATGCTCTCTGGCAAAAGTAGAGGATAAAGGTTTATTTTCATTAAATCCAGAAATTTCACTCTAACTGAAAAGCATATCCCCTTTTCCACAGTTATACTTATCCAAATAAGTGTCCAGTCTTCTCAAGATTAAAATAACCAGGAGACTCCTGGAAGTTACAATTTTGGTAGAGATGAAGGATTTTTAATTGCTTCTTCCAGGCCATGCAGGGTTGGATTCATCAAACCTATCTGTAGCTCCATGCAAGTTCTGCAACTAGTCTAGGATAATCATCAAGATATCTCTCCACATACCACCCACACACATATGCTCTCACCATAAAGAAAACCTAGCTGACTAGCTTAGAAAAAAAGGCTACATCTTCAAACAGCATGAAATAAATTGTTGACATGTGAAATAAATTGTCTTTAATAGCATTTACAATAAATTCTGTCCTTAATAGCATTTGCAATTAACTGTCTCTGTCCCTCATTTCTTGACGTAGTGATTAGAAATTGGTAACAATAAGCATGTTTCCAATATATAAGTACCATCTCTGGTTCTTCAGCAGACAGAGGTACTAAAGTTCACATTTTTTAACTCTGAATTTTTACCACCTACATGCTTGAACATCATTTGGCCTCAGAAGGCCTTAGTCCTAAAAGGGGTCTTTGTAATTGTCATGACATGAAATGGAGATGGTACTGAAAACAGGGAAAGAAAAAAACCCCAAACTCAACAAAAACTCCACATAGATAAGAGAAATATATTCCAAAAGGAAAAGGACATCTGAAGTGTAAAAGTTTAAATAATATGCATAACCAGGTTCATCTTGTAAGAAATTTCAAAGTGGCTCAGCTCTGGCATTTGTCTAAGCTACCACCCTCGCTGTCAGTGGCTGTAAATGGATGCTTAGAGAAGAACAGGGTATCCATTAATGATTGTCCTAGACTCACAGCATTTTCAGGTTAAGGGATACTCTGAGACTAATGTGATTTGTTTACAAGGTAATCCTTAATACACATCTCTTCTAATTACTTATTTGCATTCTTGAATCCACATATTCTCTGCAACCACATCATCTTTTCTAAAGGAGCACAGACCTGTACCTTACTGCATGAGAAACCACCTCTTTCTTTTGGGATTGAACATGGCTCTGACTGTTTCATGGTTCTGATGGCCATTAATTCTTGTAGCAAAAGTGATAGTACAGTCAATTCCTACCCACTATTTGCATGACAGTTATGATTTTATAGACTTACATGATCATTTCCTTAAACTGTGATTTTTTGATGGTTAAGAGATACACTTTATTTAATTCTTTCCTGCATGAAGCTAGCTCACCCTTATGATCATCCTTCTTGCCATTCTCAATTTTTTTTCCTGGCTCCACTATAACCTTTTAAAGCTGAGAGCATCAGGTCTGCAGCTAGCATACTGATGCTATAATAATACAAATAATTAATTTCCTACTAATTCCTAATGTTAATTTGCTTTTAAACTACCAGCCATCAAGTTGGGGATTTTTTGTTGTTTTTTTAATTTTAATGTAAGAACTAACTCTAAGAGGTAATGGATACATTATTTTATGTGTTTAAATGTACCACTTAATATTTCTCCACACAAGACAGAAGAAGCATCTTGTAGTTTCTTTTTAAAAAGCTTC